GCAGGAATAAAAACCGCTTCTCCTAGCTTTTGCATAAATGTCCATGGCTCAATCCCTTGCATTCAAACCAACCAGAAAAACAACAAAAAACAAATGAATAAAATGTGGATAATAAATAACTCAGGAAGTGACAGTTATTACAGTTACAAGCACCATACCATATTCCGCTTTGAGTCTTCTTTTGTGCTCCACGGTTAAGAAACAGGATTGATCATGTATCGGATGATAAATCTAACCAAAGAATCCTCAAAAACCATCAGTATACAATAATCAACATCTAGACTCAGAAATGAAAACGTTTCACAGACTATTTTATTACCTTTGTAACAGGAGAGCAAAAAGTATGTCTGAATTCTTTGCAATGCTTTCTCAGATACTCTTCAAGCTTTGGAACATCTTCTCTTCTAAATATGTCCCAAAGCGCACTTCCTGTCTCATCATGAACCCCATTTTCATCACTCACAATCTCTTCCTTGTCAAAACCATTTTGCTCATGAAGCTCTTTCTCATTCTGTTGCTTGTGTTTCTGTTTCAGAGCTTCCATTGCAGTCATTTGCTCCTCAGTTATCGTTACTTCAGCCGTATGCATCAGAATATTAACCTACAAACATTATAATCTAATCAAAACCACAATTTCATTTAACATTGTGAAAACACGTGTAAGCAATTGAGAAAGCTTACTGCATCAGACATATCACAGTGAAGCTTAGTCACAGAATCGCCTCTCCCAAGCTCATCTGCAACTCCGTAAGCAATGTAAGTTTTCGGACCAAGATCTGGTTTAAGAACTCCATCAGGAAGCTTGGCAGCAATGTTGAGAATCCCTGATCTAGGATCGCTGTATTCTTGGAACGGTAACGCCGAGATAAACTCATCGCAGTGACGAGGCAAAAGGTTTTCAAACTTATCCGAAGGAGGCCAATCTTTCAGCTTCAGCATCTCAGGCCAGAAGTTACCGTACCTTCTTCCTTTACTGTATCCTTCAAAGAAGTCCTGAGTTTTGATCTCCACCTCGCAGTTAGCTAAACAATCGATTGCTTTGACTTCAGACATGTTAGAGGAGCTAGTTGCAGCTGAATCAACGTTTTCGGACAGCAACGCGCGCCACATGACACTTGGCTCCCAGCTTAGACCAGCTGTGTTGTTGAGAGTGTTTCGAACAATCATTGGCTCGCCTTTAGACCAATGCTCTTGGAAGTGAAGAAGCTCCTCTAGCTTCAGGACATCAAAAGAATCAGGAGAGTAGAGGAAGTTGTCACTTGATCCTTTCCTCGAAGCTACTTTCCTCATCATACTATTACTACTCATCTCCAAATCAGAAGAACATCTGCAATATGACATCATTGGATCGACACTATGAGTTGCTAAGAAAGTCTCTGCCTTTTGCTCCAAATCTGACATCAGAGTAAACGGTAGGATGCGTTTAAGCTCCAAAACAGAATCACCGCAACCGCCTAGCTCTTTTGGCGCACATGTTATGCTTCCATTTCCATCAGCATTCCACTTGATGGACTGGTTGTTATTAGCTTCATCATCCACGGGAGCAGAAGCAGAGCTCGGTTCTGCATCTTCGCCGTGCATATATCGGCTTCTTCTGTTCACGAACTGTGACTTGATTTCCGGTCGTTCTGAAAGCCACCCTCCACGGAGCTCTTGGCAACAGTTGAGACAAAGTTCGTAAGAGCACTTTGGACATCTTCGATGCAAGTCAACAATTGAGGTTGCACAATGGTTACTACACAACACACAAATATATATTTTTCAGTAATATATCAAAATAGAGCTGTTCAACACGTAACAAAGGATGATACTTACCAAAAGACGCGCTCTTCATTTGAGCATAGAGTCTCGGAGATGTCAACTTGAGAAGTCAGTAACCCTATAGAACAAAACAATAAGTAATCTTGCAGCAATTTTGGTACTAGAAGATAAAGATCCATATATACAGTACCTTGAATCTTTGCCTCGGTTATAATTTCTTGATCTTGCGCTTTGCGTAACATTTTCAAGAAAGGAAGCATCGATCCAATCAAGTACCGGAGATGATAGAATCTTTGGTAATTACTGAGCTTCCTCTTTGATGTCTGTAACACAAACAGATTTACATGTATCAATCTTGCGATCCTCTCAATACAAAACACCACACATTTTCTTTAAGAATACAACCATACCTCGATTAATCCACTAGACTGCAAACATATGCAACAGTTGCAAATTCTGCGGCAGAAAGGACATTGCTCAATGATATCCTCATGGGACAAATGAGGATACCTGTAACAATCCGCAAAGAAGAATGTTGTGTTTGAGGATAATGATGAAAGCTACATTTTGTTATGAGACAGAAGAAAAAATTGTAATGAACCAACTAACCATTTCTTGATGCATGGAAAACAATACAGCCTCTCTTCACAATATGTGCAAATGAAAAGGTATCTTCTTTCCCCTTTAGAGCATTGATGGCAAATTGCAAGGTCTCCCAAATCTGCCTGTGTAAGGAAAAACATGAAAAAGGAAAACATGAATTTCAGACAAAAGCTCAGTAAATTTTCACATTATCCAAGAACAAGTGTTACCTTTAAACTCCTTGTCATGCTTCTGCAGTAATTAAACTTGTCGTTTTTCAGACGAGAATCTGACAAATCTGACTCAGACTCTGAACATGAACCGTTATCAACATCTGTCTCATCTTCATACAACCGAATATCCGAACGGTTCCTGCTTCGTGTCTTGACGAAAGGAACTAGTTGCAGTTCTTGTTCCCTTTCCTCTTCTTCTTTCCTTTTCACAGAGCTTCTCTGCTTCGCTTTCTCTTCATCATTACCATTTCCTTCATTGCATAAATCACGTTTCTTTGAGGCTCTCGTCTTTCTTGGAGGTTTGGTTTTACCTTCTTTAACTTCATCAGCTTTAGACCGTTTCCGTTTTTTATTAGAAACCAGCTTCGGAAATGTCACACTGCTCTCTTCTTCTATCTCTGAAGCACTGCTATTACTTGTTGGCTTCACCGAATCCTTCTTCTCTGGCCAAGAATCTTCCGTTTTACTCTCCATTACACCATTATGCTTGACATTAACTCCATTAGCAGCAACTAAACCCTCCATTTTCTCAAATCTCACCTACCTAATCAAATGTCAATAACCAAAAAAAGCTTCAGAAATTCAAAATTAAACGACTCACTCAATCACTTTTCTTTTTTTCCCAATTCTTAAATAATATCAAACAGCAGATATATCAGGGGAAAAAAAACAAACAGAGGTATTAACTCAGAGTGATAATTGAAAAAAACTTAACGAATAAACAAAATATTGGTTTCAAGACGAAAAGAAATGAGAAAATTAAAAAGAGATGTAACGAAACAGGTTAGGGAGGAGCATCACCTTTCTGATAAAAAAATAAAAACCAGCTCAAAGACGATTTCTTCGCGGTGAACGATGAAAAATCCTTGATTTAGCTAAATCATTCATCTGACATGATTCAACGAAACCCCCAAAAATGTTACTGATACAGTAAAACACAGAAGAAAGAGATATTTCTGAACTTTTATTTTCACAGTCAGAGAAGGAAGAGAACGAAGGAAAGAATTTGATGGGTAATAAAAGAAAAAGATAAAAGGAACAAAAATCTAAAAAGAGTCAAGAGAAACGTTTAAAGAGCCGCTTCTACAGTTAGCTAAACTCGTACCGTACGTTGGATGTGAAACCTGAAGTGACCAGACCGCGATAATAGACCTGCGTGGCGTTTTTAGATTGGCTCTTCAGACGGAAGCATCGATTGGCGCTTGGACACATACACCAAAGCTTATCTAATTTTTGAATTAAGAGAATGGTTTTTAATGTTGTTTCTTTGGTCAATGTTGTTTAATTACTTCCCTATTCTCACGTACGGCAAAACGTGGTGTCCGCGCGTGAGAATAACGCTTTACGGAATGTAACAATTATGCTACTCCAATTCTTTTCTTTGTCGACAGATATATATGTGTAATTTCATGAAAAATCAGGATAATATATTTTTCCTTAACAGCAAAAGGAAATAGTATGTTTTTCCTAATCTGTGTAATTTAGGTGGAAATAAGGTGGAAAGAAACTATGTACGTACAATGTATCTAGCTTTGATACACAAAACCAGATACTCTCCAATTATGATGATGTGTATTTTAGTAAATTTGCATTTATTATTATGGTGGTCATATAAGTTTTTGATTTGTCAGCATTACTTTTTCTTGAATTATTATTATTTTTAAAAAAATCTGCAATAAAGTGTAGTCAGAACTGTTTCTCTTGACCAAAGAGAAAAAAGAAAAAGGTACTGTTTCATTTTTTTATATGAAAAAAATGGTGTTCTGTTTCTGCGTTACTGTACTTAAAAGTTAAAACAACCCAATCATAAACTGGAAAAATTGTCTACTAAAAATAGAAATATAGTTCGAGGTTGTTTCTACGGTTGAGAAATATACAAAATTTGAATAAACAAAAATGTAAAACACAGACTCCCAACAGTTAATTCCGTTTCTTTCTATACCGTATAAAACCGAACCGGTTAAGTGAAAATCAACGGTTCTGGTTATACATTTGACGGTGAAATCGGAGAATCGCGGCTAGCATGACTAACCGCCGGCGTAGTTTTCCTTGACTGACGTTTGGTCGGCACAGTAACACATTCTTCGTCCAAATCATCGAAACAAGAACCGGAAACCTCAGACCGACCATCTTCATACTCGTCGTCTTTGAATACCGGATGAATATATGCTTTCTTAAGATAAGGCTTCAAATTAAAGTTCGGTTCTCTGGCTCGTTCCAATGTATCTTTGATCATAGCTTCCTGCAAACCGAGCCTTATGAGATCAATAACAGATAAACCAAAACCGGTGACAATACCTCGGTTTAAGTTGCAAATGTGAGATTGATTTTTCACTGACCTGCAACGGATAACGTACAAATGCCGATTCATACCGGCCTTTGCAGAACCGGTGGAAGAAAAAGGTTAGAATCGGTAAGGCGATGAGGAAAGGAGTGGACTGAGCTGCTCGCTTAGTGCTCATCAATCCCATCAAAAGGATCTGCGAGATGATCAACGCCGATATCACACGTCCATGAACATCTGGCCAGAACGCAGCTGCACTTTCGTATTCCTGATTGTACACATTTATGATCTGCCAAAAAAAAATGATACCAATCAGCAAAACAACAAACCGGAAAAGCTTAACCGGGAAAAAAAAAAGGATCTTGAAGATGTTCAAAACAAGAAACAGAGTATATTGTTATACGAACCTGGTGACGAAAGACGAGGTAAGCCAAAGCGAAGAAGATGATAATGAAAGGGAGAAGAACAGGAGTGACCGGAGCATAGACAAGACCGAGGAGGAAGTAGAGTTGAATCCGAGGCTCTGTCGCATGAAAATTGATCTGTCCTGGATTCATAGCTTCTTCTCTGTCCTTCTCTGTTTTCACCAAGAAGAAGTTCTTGACATGGAAGAAGATCAAAGGCTTCAGCCTCAGAATCTCCCCCGCAACGCCAGCCCAACCATCAACCATTATAAACGTTATAAAAAACGTCGCTTTTATCGGTATCGCTACTCCAACTGTCTTAGGAATCCTAACAAGGCCATACATAAGCTTGACGATCGATACAGAGAAAAACAGAGAAGTGTGGGAGTTTTTTCAACTTACTGATTTGCAGATTGTTTGAGGAAAGAATCGAGCTGTTCAAAAGCAGAGCCGGTGACAATGCTTCCGAGGAAGACATTAACGAGGTTGAAGATATAATACCGAAAAGCAGCTCTTCTCTCTAACGATGATAACGAAACAAACCCTTCGAACTTGGACATGACCATCAAGATGCTTGGCAGGAATATTATAAAGAGCTTCAACACAATACCAGGAAGAAACCCTTGGATAAATGATTTAACTAGATCCCTGCAAAAAAAACAATAGCAAAATTCAACATCCAACTCATAACAAGCAGAGGCAATAAGAGATAGAGAGAAAGAGAGAGAAACAATTACTTCTCCACGAGGGTTGTGAGGAAAGGAGCTGATTTCTCGATGCCTTCGATGCTTGCTAAGGATTGAACAAAGGCTATTGGAATCATGAAGAAGAATGTGAGGAAGAAGAAGGCAACGTGCATTACAAGCCTCCTTACTGTTAATGAGACGTAAGGTATAGCTAGGTTTGACCAAAACACTTCTCTCGCCTCTGGAGCCCATTCGGATAACCATTCTGTCGGATTTCTCGACTGTTGTGTCTGTGCACAGACCGCAGCACCCCAACGTGTTTTGAAAGAGACAAAAGCTGCTGGCATTACGTTCTCGTCATCTTTCTTTACCTTCTTCCTTTCTTCTGCTATCTAAGAAACATAAAAGATAAAAATCAGTTTTGGTTGTTTCCAACTAAGAACCCGTTGCTAGATGCTATGGAGAAGATAATGACACTTACTTCCTTGTTTACTTTCTCGATTTCAGCTATGTAATGATCAATGGCGTCTACTTTCTCTCCCCATAGCCCGAGAAAACCTGTCTGGTTTCCCCCAAGAACACAACATAAAACAGTTTAGCTTCTTTAAGTATGTGTCTAAAGAGTCTCTAAAAGCCATCAGTTACCTTTAACCTTGGCCTTTGATCCTTGTTCCTTATATGCTTCAACTGGTAATAGTCAAGCCAGTTTTGCATGCTCTTCTTCTTCTCTACTAAATCCGCCAAATCGTTTGCATCGTAAACAACCTGTATAGTCAAGTTCCAGGATAATTTAAGCGAAACCCAAAAAAAATAAAACTATTTGTTTCTGAGCAATGAGCCATTATATAACCTGATGTGTAAGATAATGGTCTGGATGGTTAACCATGAAGAAATGTTCCACACTTTCACTAATGGTCTCATCTGGATCCGCTGGTACGTTCCTAACCAAAACCTGCGAAAGCAAAACCAGATCATTCCAGTGTTACATCAGGAAACAAAACTGATCATATAATATAAAGCTTTACCGTGAATTGATCAGGACGCCTCTGCTCCGACTGGAGAAATGTCAAACGCAGAGAAGCTACGTTCTCATACTCTTTCATTAGAACATAACAAGTCCAGAATGTGAAAACGTAAGCCATCACTAGGTGAGTCCAAAACCTTCAAATATTTAATAACAGCCATAAAACTTCAAAACCATAGAGGGAGGAATAAGAATTAATCATAAGAGATTTTTTTGTATAATTTGCAAACCTGTCTGATCCTCCTTCCATATTTGAGATAGATAACTTATCAATATCACTAGATGTTACATTACGTAGCTTTGCTAGTTGCAGCCCATCGCTTGTCCAATTTACAGGTACAAGAATCGACCACGCAAGTAATGCTATCGGTACAAAGATCTTAAGCCTGAGAAAAACAGAGTAAATATCCAAAAGTCCATTAGGTTTCAAGATGAAACTATGCAAAGCAAGAATCTTTCAAAAGCTTGAAACACTACCCTGTCAAGTGAATCCTCAAGTACACCGCAGAATCTAACCCGGCATGATGAATAAGCTCTGGCTCAGGCATCCTCAGAGCCGCGGGCCTCCAGTTCAAGAACCGTAGATACGAGCCTAAGTCTAGATTCACAAACTTGCTCACAAGAGCACCTGAATGCAGAGGACTGCTTCGAATACCTTTCAGATACCAATTAGGGAAATAAACCCTATCGTTGAATGGTTGGATCCTCAAGATTGCAAATGCCAAAAGGAAGATGATGGCTGTGAGTATGTTGATTGCCGCCGCTACTCCAATATCTCCTAGTGTTGCCATCTCTTAATCTATACAATCTAAAATTCACCTCTGAAATCAAATGCTTCACCTGCAAAATAAGTCAACCCTAAAATCTATTAAACCCTTTGAATTCAGAGGCTTGGCCTACAAAAGTATTCAGCCTTAAATTCATTCAAATTGCGTGTGTATATCTAAGCAGGACGAATTAATTACACTTTTATTTATGGTTATCTTCTTCTTTATGGAAATTTATTTTCTAAGATTTTAAAATAAATTGATAAGTCCATAAAATCTTTTAATAAGGAAACTGGTGGTAAGAATATTATCACAACACTCAACAAAAAGAAGATAACATTTATGCCTACATTTAAATTTCATCCCATAATAAGTCTCGTGTTACTCTCATAAAAGACATCTATGAACCAATACAACAGTGACATAAAAAAAGATTTCAAAGTTTGAAACTTGTTAACTCTTAACTAGAGAAACTACTAAATGAAAGAAATGATGTGAACTGATTACCTTGATCAAGATCTCTAAAGAGACCCAAAACCCAGAACTGTGTTTTTTTTTTTTTTTTTTTTTGTAGTAACGTCTCTTTTTGACAACGAAAAGACCCTTTTCCTTAAACTTCTCAAGAAGCAACCTAGCTATAAGATTATAAAAATACAGGGAAACTTTAAATTCAAGGATGAAAATATGTGACGAACCTAGAGAACCAAATTGCTGAAGTAAGGGCTTCAATCCAAAAGTATACTCCAACTCTTATAAAGTCACGCCAAACAAGAAAAAAAAACGAGAAACCTGTGTGATCGGTCTTACTCTATGCACATAAACAAAAAGGAAGAGGAAGATAGAGACGCCCTGCTGTTTTTAGCTGTGATAAACGCTGAAAAAACACGGACGATAAAGAAAGAGGAAGGATAAATGCTTTTCAAAACCTTTGACATCGAAAAGCTTGTTTTTTCTTTATTCTTTTATTCTTGGCATTGGGTGAATTATAAATGTGACGTACTGACCTTGGTCCGCGTATAGTATGAGGCTCTTTCTTCAAAGTTGAAATGTTGATAGTCTCAGGTTTGCTTTTAATTCACTTTTTTTTTTTTTCTTTTTTCTTGTCAAGCGTTAAGTTTAAGTTAAAACCCCATAGTTTTACATTATTAGACAGCTGCCTTGCCCAACTTGATATTTATATTAATCTACAATTACATCTTGTTATATGTTACCATCTCGTAAGAGAAAAGAAGATCATTGGTAAGCTATCTCTATAGTATGAAATTTTGTATCAGTGAGTCAGTAAACTAAAGTTCAGAAAAATAAATTGGTATTTCTATAAATATAAGAAGTTAAAGGAATAAACCAAAATGCAATATAATATTGAGGGTCATATGAAATAGTATAAAGTTTTGTCTTCCGGGAAATAGAAAAATAATCAGTACGTTGGTAAGTAATTATCAATTAATTAGTTATTGTATTTAGATTTGATCACGAAAATAGCCAGATGCGGCAAGTGCCACGTGGGGCGGCAACGGTGGACTTTCGTAAATGCCACGTCGATTCTATTTTGATTCAAGCGAGTATGGGATAGTGTCACGCCCCAAGTGTCCGGAGAAGCGGGAATTGCGAACGACGGCGTTTGGCAACGTTGATCAACTAGAGACTGTCATGTACCAATGGTGAATCGACACCTGGTTATTATGATTTAATATATTTTTCTGGCTAGTGCAACCACTATCGGACAAGAAAAAGAGACAGTCCCGAGACGGCGTCGTGTTAGAGAAAATCCCAAAACCGTCGTCGTTTGGAGGCTAATCTGAGGGGAATAAATATCTTCAGCTATGCTTTCTCTCATTTTCTAGGCCAAGGTGATTTGCGACTGTCACTACCACTCCGTTGTCGTCTTTCTCAGTCTCCGGTAAGTTTATTATTTTGTTTCAAAGTCGGAATCTTTTAGCTTAGGCTTGGTTTCTCTACGGATTCTGCTTCTCACTTGGCATTTCCCTTGCGAATTAGTGAACAAAAAGATGAACTTTTAGCTACGTTTTAGGGTTTTACTTTTTTCTTTGACGAAAGTTGCTGAATCCTTCTTTTGGTTGGTTATCCTTTGTTAAATAAGCTATCACGTTGTTCTCTGTCTTCTCGCTCGACGATTTTTCTCTGCATTCCACTATGTTTATGTTTCTGCCGAACTTGAGCTAGTGAGGTCTTGCTTTGTGTTTTCCTTTGCTGGTCTCTGCTTTATATATCTTCTTTCTGAATGTCTTCTCTGATTGATTGCTGACCTAATTAGGTAGCAGCACTCTACTATATACTCTCTTGCTTTGTCTCTTCTTTCGGTAATGGCTCTTAAGAAAAATGGATTTCTGAAAAAAATCGTTCCTTTCGATTCGCTTTACACTCAGAATGTGTTATGAAACAATTTTGGCTTTACATTCAGAATGTCGTATGAAAGAATTTTGTCTGTGCAGGCCAGGGATAAGTGATTGAAGATGGCTTTTCAAGGACCGAGCTCAGATTGTCATCCAAATTGCCTACGAGCATTGAATGCGCAAGAAGATTACGGTAACTTATCATCACTCTAGAGATCTCTAAATTACTCTATTTGTGTCATTAGAAGAAGAAGAAAGAAAAACTGTGATTTGGTTTGAGTTTGACCGACCATTAGAAAGGATAAAATGAATTTGGGTCTGTTTTTCTTGCCTTGCAGATGCGTCTCAGAGAGCAGCAATGTTAGCGGTTGATCTAATCACCATGACGCGTGGTATACTGAAGCTTGACAGTGAGAACACTCTGTACTCAGCTCAGTATCTGGTGGACAACGCTGGTCCCAAGAAGGACTCTGGGCAGGGAGAGTGGGGTCAAGGACGCGGTGTAACGATCCAAGACCTCTTTGACTACTTGAGGGACATAGCTACTCCTAGCGAGGAGGGAGAAACGGATCAAGAACGCCCTGAGCTAACGGTGAAGGACTGCCTTGAGTGTGCTTTCAGAGATGGGTTGCCGAGAAGAGGGCAGTGGGGACATTTGGGATGTGTCTCCAAGGTTCCCCCATTTGCTTGTCTCATACCTCGCGTCCCCATGAATGGAGAAGTGGTTGAGACTGAGAAATGGGAAGAAGCAGTTGAGTTGTTGGGGAAGCACCCGATTGGAGCTAAACTGCATGTCTTCAGTCCGGAGATTGATCTTGTTGATGATGTAAGCTTCTTCTCTTCTTTTTTCAAATTTTCAGAGGAATGAATGTCTCTATCTGATCTTGTTCATTTTGTTGATTGTGTGGCAGGAAGTGGGAGTTTACGAAGGGCCGTCAGGTGCTGGATCAAGCTATGTTGGACTTAGGGATGTGATGGTCACTGGAGAGGGGAAGACAGAGATGGGAGACAAGAAGGTTGCGCAAGTGAGGATTTGCTACAAGAAGAAGACTAAGTTCATTGCTGTGTCTCTTGATCGTGTGCTTACCTCACTTGGCGACGAGTCTCAGGTCATAGAGCCGACGGGTCTCCTTTCTGACTTCATCATCCCACGCTTCTCCCAGTAAACCAGAGCTTAGTGCTTCTTGTTAAGTATCTAGACAGCAACATGTTTGTTGTAGTGCTGTAATAAGAATGACTTATTTAGACTTGTTTTCTGTGTGTTAACATGCTCGGAAATATCATGAAACCGTATGCTATTTGTGGAACTCGTTTTGTAGTCCACATTCTAGGAGACTTTTATCTATGAGTACAGAAGCTGGTTTAGCTACTTTTATTTAAATTTGAAATCGGTATGTTAAATTAAATGTACCACCTTTTGGGCATTTCACATCATCATCCTCTCTTTTTTTCATTGCGTGTTCGTTTCTTTAACTGACTTTTAAAATTTCTTATCGAATCGGAAAGATACAATAGTTTATCCTTGCCTACCACTTGAAGGACAAAGATTCGAAATTAAAAGATAAAAAGACATTGATGAAAAAAATCTAAACTCGTAACAATCTAATGTACAATGTGCAAAGATGTCAGAACTATGCTCGCTACCAAAAGTTATTGGGCCAATATATACCAAAAGCTTCGGGAGCCAAGGCATTTTACATGGAAGATGCGATTAGAAGAGATCCGTAAATCGAAATTTTGGAATGGTTCGGTTTAGAATGCTTTCTTGCACGCAAAGAAACCCACTTATTCACTATGTTCTCGTCATAAGTCCAATAAAAATATCTAATCACACATTTCGAATAATGATTCGAGTCTGAACGAGATTTTAGAGGATTGTGTTATTTTGAGTTAATTTCTTATAGAATCAATGATTTGTTATTAAAAATTTCAGACTAAAAATTAATTCTAAAAAAAATGAAATTCAGATTGTTGTATCTATAACCATGAAATGCATTAGGAAAGTTGAAAGTATCTTTTTTCAGAATAACCAAGTAAAATCGATGACTATAATATGTCTTGGGACCCAAAAAAAAAATCAAATCTATAAACACAAAGGTCTAATTTGCAAAATTCATACTATCTAAAAGGAAAAGTATAGGTCACGTCAAGCTCAATTTGATTGTGAAACAGAGCTTTCCTCTGTTATGGATTCTTTAACAACAATATGTGAAATTGTGGATTTATTTAGGTCACGTGGAATCTCTTTTGGTTCAAGCGAGTGACCTCATGGAGAGTGTCACGCGCCAGGTGGCGGATGGTGATTGCATGAGCCAAACAAAAAATATTAAATCACAACAAAATGGTTCGAAATGGTCGAAAATAAAATATTTTGAAATTAGGGGAGAGGCGGGAACGGCGAACGACGGCGTATGGCAACATGATTGACAGGCATGTCAATTTTCAACGTTGATTAGAAGACTGCTAATTGCCAATGGTAAGACGACACCTGGTTATTACGATTTAGTATTTTCTTTGGCTCACGCAATCACTATCGGACACTTGACACTCTGTAGTTGATCCAGACGAGAAAAAAAGGGAGTAAAACACGGCGTCGTGTTGAGGAATATCCCAAAACCGTCGCCGTTTTGGAGACTCATTTGAGGGGAAATAAATATCTTCGGCGAGGAT